CCCATTCCTCCACCAATTTCTTCTTCATGCCTCAACACTCGAATGGGGTCTTGCACAGACCTTATTTTGAAGAACTCCCCAGATGGAGAAGTCGAGAGGATTCAAATCCGGAGAGGAAGCAGGCCATCCATCCTTCTTGATGAACTGCGGCAAGTGACGCTCGCACCAGTCTTGAGTGAACTTTGCAGTATGGGCAGGTGCCCCATCTTGTTGGAAGATCCAATGTTGTCCGGCAAAGTGATTTTCGGCCCATGGAAGCAAATGCTTCTTCAAAATTTCTTCTACGTAATACTCTTTGTTGATTTTGACACCTTTATCGACAAAAACCAGTGGGCTCTTCCCATTTGAGCAAATCGCACCAAAAACCATGACACTCGCTGGGTGGGATGTTTGATGGATGGTTTTTCCTTTGTCAGAAGCATCCTGGATATCGTGGGCAAGAACGCGATGGTTTTGAGGATTGAACTCCGCCTCCACAGTGAACAACTTTTCGTCAGAGAATACCGTCACCAAATGTTCGCCAGCGCGCGTGCCAGCCAGAAGCGTTTTGGCTTTCTGGAGGCGTTTTTGCTTGTTGGCTCAGAAAGAATGGCGGCTCGAGTGACACGATATGATTTTTCCTTCAGCTTCTTTTTGACAATGTTTGTCATAGAGATGCGAGACATTCCGAGACTCTCTGCCATTTTTCTGATGGAACGATGAGCATTCCTTCGGATTCGTTCTCTGACGGCTTTCACAGCCTGAGGTGTTGTAACAGTAACTGGTCTTCCTCTTCCGGCTCTGTCCTTGAGTGTACCAGTGTCTTCGAAACGTTTAATTCTTCTGTGAACAGTTGATCTTGCGATTCGAGCCGATTTGCGATCTTATGCGCCTTCTCACCACCCTTGTAGAGTGCAATAATGGAAGAGCGATGAACACTTGGCTTCACCATCGAGCTGAAAATCAACCGATCATTATGAAACTTGGCAAAACGAATAATGATAAAATGATGAAAAAAATTTTAAACAATTTGTGCGCGCAAAACGCGCCAGCAGCCTTCGCCATGGCGCCAAACTTGCGTTGCAATAATTAAAAGCCACCCTGTAAAACATAAATTGTCATTGCAAAGTTTCCTGAAAACCTGAAAAACTCGATCGGAGAAGTATTTAGAGTAATTTGCCGACTAACCGCAGATTACTCAACACTTCTTCATAGTTGTGATACCAGAAGGCGATTTTTCTTATTAGATGATGGATGAATTAGAAAAAAATCGACGAATTTCCTTCAATTCGGAAGAAATTCAATGAAAAATTACCAAAAAACGGCATCGCTAAAATACCGTCGAAAAACTACGCGGCGCCTTTGCGAAAAGGGGCGGATCGCTCCGCCCCCTTGTTTACTTGTTTGTTTGTGTGTTCACCGGTGCGATCTTTTTGAATTGACAATACAAAGGAATCCATGTCAGGCCTCTTAAAAACAATTGGATTTCACAAATTTTAACATCCATATTTCTTGTGAACGTCACAGTTACATACTCTGCGTGTAATAGGGGTAAACACAAACACGTAGAAAGAAAATCAGTATTCAGTTTTCCAACGTTCAAGTTCAGTTATCTTCTTGGTTTTTCGTATGCGCCAACTTCACGACTTCGAGGACAACTTCCAGAGCGGTTTCCAGTATGGGCAGGATTAAAAGCACAATGGCAGGAGTAGCTGAATTACATTAAAGGTGAGGATATTGTAAAGCTTCGAAAATTTTTCGGGTTCATTAGAAAACTGTAAAAGGGCTAGTTGATAACAGACACCCGTAAATCTACGAAAGGGGCATGGGGGTTTTTTATCAAATCACGTGACTATGTAGGATTTTTGAAAAATTAGCTGATTTTCATAGCCAAAATATTTTTTACATGACATTTCAAAAAAAAAAGGAAACGTAGATCTGCTGTCGTTCGTCGGAAGCAATATAGAGCGGATTCAAATTTATTCCCCT